GGCTTCTCCATAGATGGGGCAAGGATGAGAGGTCAGGAGCACAGGGATTCGCATGAGAGGGACAACATTCAGAAGCAAGTCAAGTACAGTTGTGTGGCAGTTTCAGCTTCCTTAACTTTCAGGCTATGGAGATGCCCCTGTGTGTCACCAAGCCTGTCTACCTGCATGTGTCATATTAAGAGACGTCATTGACAAATGATGAAGATTGGAAAGCTAAATTATAAGGAAAAAACAAGAATTTGGTTTGGTTGTGCAAAACTGCTATCTTAAAGAGTTAATTTCTAATTTCTAATTGAGCACATTCAGTCAAAATGCCTTTATCATATCAGGCATATCATTAAGTAAACCAAAATACTTTTATCATAAAAGGCTACATGTTTCACAATCTGTAACACACATCATTCTCCTGGGTGAATTTCCTCTCAGCATTGAGGAATAATTTGATACGAGCTAACCATTTAACACATGTTTTACTATGTGTCAAGCACCTTTTGTACATTATCTCATATACTTATTTTATTAACCTTAATGGGAGATAGTATTATCCCCAGCTTTAATAGCAGAAAATTGATCATTGAAGAAGATAACTGACTTACATAACATCACACAGTTCTTAGACTTGAAGCTCAGCTGACTCCAAAGCCTGGGTTTTATCTCTAGGGAAAGAGGAAGTAAGAGGATTTTTAAACTAACGCCTTGTAATATTAACTAGAATCAGAGTATAGGAGATCACAAAGAGGCCGTCAGGAGTCTGAATCTGATTTGGAGGGATCTAAGAGGACTGAGCCAAAGTCATCAACACCATTGAGGTTTTTTTATTATTGTTGCTGCACTATTCATAATAGCAAAACCAGGTAACCAGCCCTACTGCTCATCGAAAGTGAACTGGATAAAGAAATGTGGTACATATACACGATGGAATATTACGCAGACATAAAGGACAAAATTATGGACTTCACAGAAAAGTGGACAGAGTTGGAGACCATCATACTTAGTGATCCATCACAGAAACAAATAACCAAATACCACATGCTCTCACTCATAAGTGGGACCTGGATATTAATCACAATAGCACAAGGGAGGGATCATCTGGCAGTCACTGGGCCCTGCAAGGGGGTGGTGGGGTATGTCACAACACAAAGGGTACCTGGTCCTAAACTAGGGGGAGTGAGGGCCAGTTGGAGGCTCAGACTTTACTTGCACATAGATTACTTGTGTACCTAATTCTGACTTGTACCCTGCATCTCTATAATAAAATTAAGTTATGAAAAAAAAACACCAATGTCATTGACACTGAAGATAAAATTCAGAAGTAGGAAGGCCAAGTTGAGGATCACACCATGAAACTGAAGGGAATGAAGTTTTCTATAGAGGGAAAATTGCCTTTGCACTTAAATATCTGACCACAAGTCAACTCCACCACCTCTTACTTATAAATTAAGCCCATTTATCTGTTCCTCATTTCCCCAAGGCATTCACAATGTTTCAATTAAGAGCACATCCTTTCATGTCTGTGTTCCAGCTGACTTTTCAGGGAGATGTCCAATAAACCCTAAGTATGTTCTGTTTCTGTTCCCTCTTTTTTTCCCTCTCTCTCTCTTTTCTTTTTAAGGAGCAACGGTGGTAGCTGCTTCAAGGTTTACGTTGGTTATCTACAAATGTATTTATGAGTTAAGAAACAACATAATACTTGGGAAAATGACTGACATGTCACAGTACGTGTTGACTTCTATACATTTATAAATTGCATTCATGTATTATTATATTAGCATATTAAGTATATTTAAAACATACAAATATGGGAAAATGTAAAAGAATTAGTTAATGATGACTTGTGATGTTAGAGAACCAACAACCGCTAGTTGTCTTCCAAATAGAATTATTTTCCTTGTTGCGCTTCCATAGCCCTAGTAATGTTAACTACACTATTGAGTAATTACAGTAAGTCCCCTACATACAAGTCTTCAAATTGTGAACTTTCAAAGATGGACATGTGTTCGCATGTGCAGTCATGTAAGTTAGTTCACATGTCTAGCATATATTGTCACATTCATGCATGGTCCCGTACTGCAAGATTTTAAAATGCTTCTTTATTTTTTGTGGTTGTTTTTTATGTAGTATCTTTGTGAAAAGTAGTATAAATCTATTACAGTACAGTATTATGTAGCCAATTGAGTTAGCTGAGTACCTAGGCTAACTTTGTTGAACTTACAAACAAATTGGACTTATGAACGCATTCTTGGAGTGGAACTCATTCTTATGTAAGGCACTTAGTGCGTTTAGCTATCTGCTGGAAATACACCACAAAAGCATGGTTTACTTATTAATTGATTCATTTGGCAAATACTTAGTGAGTATCTAGAGACTAAAGAAATGTAGGTGTCAAAACTCAGTCCCTGTCATCAAACTGAAGATCAATGATGGATGAACACGGTATAGACAAGTAAATACAGTACAGACAAGATGGACACAGTGTAGACACAATCTAGACAAGTGACAGAGTGGGCTATACTGAATGCCCTGAGTACTATGAAGGTGCCTAAGGGTCACCAGCTCTGCAAGAAAGGAGGAAGTTGGGAAGAAGAGCAGATTTAGAGAAGTGACATATTTGTAGAGATGTATGCGTAGTAGATACTCCACAAAGATATGTGGTTGTTAAATGCTGGTTTGGGGGATTTTTTTTTAGTTTGAGAGGACTGGGGAAAATCACATCTTTATTTTCTGCCCACCCACATTCTAAACCAACTGAAAGACAAAGGAATGGGGCATGAAGGTAAAGGTCTAACTGTCATTTGTGTTACAAATAGAGCAGCCAGGGACCTCCTGGTTTTCCATTCTGGGCAAGGACTCACACACTCACCCCTCAGGCACCTCCAGAGCTGATCACATGCTGATCACTGGAAAGGGTGCATTTTAAACTTCCCTGCTGGAAGGACCAAAGGGTCCTCTCTGGAGGAGTGAAGCCAGATCCCTGAGGAGGGAGGAGTTCCCCTATAGACCCACTTTCTTTTTCTACCTCACCAATGAGACGCATTAATCCGATTTTCCTGGGAAGAAATGACTAAAATTTGTAGAGAGGTTCCAGGAATGTTACTACAATGGAAGTAACCTTCTTGGAGAAGGAAGGTATCTTATCAAAAATGGGGCACTTTTGCAGATTCTCAATGGCTAACATACTTCAAAGTCCCTGTTCAAAGATCACTCTCTTCTTTTCTATCCGGACTTCCAATATTCTCTTTTCAGTTCTGTTGTCTTCCTCCAAATTTATTTTATGTCGTCTATTATTCTTTTCCTAACTCCAATGATCATCTACTTTCTAACCCTTGATCAGAAACTTCTGATCAAGGGCTAGAAATTTCTGATCAAGGTAAAGAAATTTTGCCAATATTCATGGAATATAACTTGAGTGTTCTCACTGGATAATTCCACTGTGCAATAAGAACAAAGGCACTTATATTTTATAAATGCATGTTATTTCTCTTCGACAACTTCAGATACATGATACGTCAGATGAATGTAAAAGGAAATCAATTAAGGAGAATATTTTACTAAAAGATAGGCCCAGGTACTTTCAAACTGTAACATATCTTACTCAATGTGAACTTGAAATGCAAATGAGAACAGAATGACACTTCTCGGCAGGAACTCTTAATGACAGCCTTCTGTGCAGCAAGGACTTCAGAGTTCAGTAGGGAGTTATTTCAATCCAGAATTCTATGCTAAATGAAGTGAATTATTAACCAATTTTGGATCAGAATAGATACATTTTCAGACCCAAAAAGACTCAGACAATCTGCTTCCCAAACCACCTTTCTGAATAATTATTGAGGGTGCATTCCATCAGAGCAAGGGAGGGAGGGCATGAAGACAGAACATGAGAGAAGGTTCAGGGAACACCAGCCCAGCCCAAGAGAGTAGTGATACTCAATCAAGATGGCAGCGGTGGGGAGACTTCACCTGCAGACTGAGACAGCAGGAGGGAGGCCCTGAAAACAGACACCGGGGGAAGAAGAGATTGTGTACAATGGGGATTCTTTTTTTTTTTTAAGTCGGAGTCTCACTCTGTCACCCAGACTGGAGTGCAGTGGCCGCTCCCGGCCACCGCAGCCTCGACCTGCTGGGCTCTAGCGATCCTTCCGCCTCAGCCTTCCGAGTAGCCAGAATTACAGGCACGCGCTACCACGCCCGGCTGATTTTTTGATTTATTGTGGAGATGAGGTCTCGCCAAGTTGCCCAGGCGGGTCTCGAACAATGGGGATTCTTATTAGAAGTTTGGCAGAAGCTCGAGGACATGATAGAGGGAGAGAATGCAAGAAATAAAAAGGAAGACAATTAGGAGGTGGGAGTTAGTCATACAAGAAAGTCGTGATCCAAACATATCAGAAACTGTTTATATTAGAAACAAAGGCAGGTACATTTCAAGAAAAAAATTAGAACTGATTCCAAATAGTAGGTTAAATCAATAAAACCAAGAGACAACTAGGATATGCTGAGGAAGTCATATTTAGCACACTTTCTTCTTGTAGCAAAGACAAAAATAGTATTCAGAAACTCCAACAATGACAACAAAAACTGCAGGGTAAAGGAATAGTTTCAATATAAAGCAATTCGAGTATTTGGAGGGACATTTTTAAAAGTTCCGTTGGAAACTGGCAATGGAAACATGGAATGACACAGGGATTATAAGAGCACTGTTTGTCTCTGAAAGGAAACATGGTTGGTTGTAAAAATGTGAAAACGATTGCATTTTGATTTTTTTAATCAAGTCTGCCACTTTACAGGAGGTGCCATGACAGTGTCCAAGTGGAATGTGATGTGATCGGCTTTGATCATGCAGAAGTGCAGGTAAATGGGAGGAAGGCTAGAGACAGAAGCCACAGGCTTGCAGACACAGGTGGGACATGGCATGGTCAGAGCGCCAACACCCTCAGTCAACAGATACTCTCTGTACGTCTGGAACAAGCCATGATTATTTAAGTTGACTTTCTGAAGTTGCCAAGATGGCCACAGGGGAGCTGAAAGGAGTGACAGAACTCCATGGGGAAAAGGAGGAGATGGCTGCCGGGTGAGAATGTGCATGAACTCACCCAAGAGGTCATGTCTAGAGGTAGCACAGAGCCATGGCAGTGGGAGGTCATTTAAAGGTAAGAAGTAAGTAGGAAGAGGAAGACTCAAGTAGAGACCTCGGACACTCGGAGGTGAAGATGTGGCAGGGAGAACCAAACACAGCAAGGGAGATTGCCATAAGCCCTTCTGATCAGTTTCCTCTTTAACCTGTGCAAGGTCTATGTTGATAATCATTTTTAATTATTTTAATTTTAATATTATTTAATTTTCTATTCCCTGCCTGGACTAAGAATCACTACCCAAGAAGTCCCTATGTAATGGAGTTGCAATATCCATTCCCTATAAAGTATGCAAAGTCATAGGTTCATGAAACAGTCCTTTTAGGATATGATGACTCGATTCAGTGATTTCCAGTGAATAATGCAGAGGACTTTGAAATTTTAGGTAGCACTGTACTTTCGCTTCTGAAATCTGAGAATTTTCTTTTTCTTTCCTATATCTCTTAGTTCTTTAGCTTCCAGTGATTTTTTCTTTATTGCATGTGGGTTTTTTTTCCATCTGTCTTCCCTGAGAACACTGAATTAGATCTTTGTAATAAGTATTGAGTCATAACTCCCAAGAGATATCATAAGAAACATAATACGCTTATATCTAGTAGTCTAGTCATTATTCTAATTTTTCTATTTGTATGGCAGCTCTAAAAAGAATATGAATTATCTTTGTTAAAATGCATTCACTGAGTGATTCTTATTTTAAAATAATCAGAGAATCTAGGTGAGACTCATCCAAGTAATTACAGATGAAAACTCAGTTTTCGGTTATGTATAGAATTATTTGATCATTTCATTTTGCTTATTTGAAAGATCTCTGGCCATCTATTTTGAGAATTGTTCCTTAATCGAAGAGTCAAATAATTAGCATGATATTTTAAAAGCTTTAAAGTGTATCACTTACAAAATAATTTGATTTGAATTCACATTTAATTTGTCCTGAAAGCCCTACTTTTATTACTGTTATACTGACCTCTTCTGGATAATTTCTATAATGTCATCCAGATTATGTTAGCTCAGTTTTTTTTAACGTCACTGTAGACTATCCAATTGATATCATAAAAAACACTGATGAGACTGGTATAACTATTCAAAGTTTAGTTCAGTGAGGATTCATTATATTTAGGCACTGACCAAAGAGTTTATGGTCTAGTAGAGAGGATAGCAAAAACAAATGATGGTAATAAAAATACAGTAGTTAAGTTTAAAAACTTTATTTAGATCTAATGATATTTGTTTAATATATTTGGGTGCTCTGGTGTTGGGTGCATATATATTTATAATTGTTGTATTCTCTTGCTGAATAGGTGTCTTTATCATAATACAATGACTTTCTTTGTCTTTTTTACAGTTTTTGACTTAAAATTGTTGCTGGTTTTTTTTTTTTACCTGACATAAGTATAGCTACCCCTGCTCTCTTATGGTTTCTATTTGCATGAAATATCTTTTTCGATCTCCTCGTTTTCAGTCTGTGTGTATTTATAGGTGAAATGAGTCCCTTGTAGACAACATATAGTTGAGACTATCTCTCTTTATAACCTTTCCCTCCACAGATAACTCTACCTTTGACTGCATATTAAAAAATGAAACAATCCATCCAAAATGATCACATCATTACCAGATTTCCAGTTTGATATTTATTCTATTTTCTTTCTTTCTTTTATATTTTAAAGGACGGTACTGGGAAACTATGGGGGGAGTATGGGATTAACAGTAGCAAATATCTGTCTGGGGATGGGGAAACACCTCTTATCAACAGGGTGCCTAAATGAAATGTAATTGTACACCTAACCCTTAACTGTACCCCACAAAACCATAATAAAAAATATTCATATAAAATAAAATAATAAAGATGTGGGATACAATTCAGGATTATTCTATTTCCTCTACACCTTGTAAAAATTGAATGAGTTCATTATTTTAAATAAAGATAGACACTTTTAAGACCATGTTGTTACATTAACATAGCTTGTTAAATATAAATATTAGCTTACTAGAAAAGAACTGTCCTAGTTTTAACATAGAGTTTGTTTACCTTATATTTATTAATATGGCCATTGTTTGAAGTTTTCTCCTCAAATATTAAAGTCTTTCACTTCGAAAGCGCCCTAAGGAAAGTGATCTTTAAGAAGAGTGATTGTTACATGAAAATATGCAGTTTATTTGGATGAGACTATTTTCAATGGCTCTGAACGTGATCTCCCCAATCTAAACCACTTAAACTATAACTCCCGCAACAGGGTTAACCAAACCTGGGGAAAAAAGAGTGTTGGTTGATAGGAATGCAGAGGGGTGAGGGGCACCGCTGGCTGATGACCATAGTAGTCAAGAATGGAGGCAGAAGAGAAATGAGGGGAATCCTAGGAAGGACCCCCATGGCTGGAAGCACTTTTGTAGTGGGAGCATCCAAGTACCAAATGGGCATGTTAAACCAAGGGACTTTCAAAATCACGTACGCACGTAGGACTACTAGCTTTGTAACCTTGAACTCATTTTGTTACACTGAGGTAAGTGTCAGACTAGGTTCTTTTTAAGATCTCTTGTAGCTTTAAAATGTCAGCATTCCTTTGAACACATATCAAATGTGTTTATGTGAATTATAACGTTAAGCTAGCCCTGCCTTAAAAGCCATGAAGATCATGCTTTAATAATTCCATCTAACCCATGAAATCAAAGGCTTCTTTATGTCATCCTCCCGCAGTTCCAGAAGCAGGTGTGGATGGCATTAGTGTGAGTGGAGATCAGACACATCACTTGACTAATATTTTTTACAAAACCATCCCCAAAACATTGAAAAGTTCATTGCCGCAAAACCAATTTACGAATTGATGAAAAGGTCTCTCGTATGTAACCTTTAAATGTGTGACATTTCAATCAGAATATTGAGTTACAAATTTCAAACTTTGACTTTTCAGACTCACACTGATACAAAAATACATCTCACATCATTACTGTTAAATATATTAGATATTTGGGTTAAGAATTGATAGTCATGCTATAACTTTATGCTTAACTGAATTGCTGTAGTAAGAGAAATACTAATGTACCGAGGATTCAGGGAAGATTTTTAAATGTCTTACAAATGTATGATTCGTTGAGGCTGAATCAGCTTTTAATTTAAGGCCTGCAGCTGTTAGTGTGATAGAAGCATCAAATTTCAAAAGAAGTTAGAGTATGAATAAACAGAATGAAGAGAAAAGATCTCCTGAGAAGAAAATAAAGGACAAATTAAGCACGTGGATGATTATAGCTTTGCTTCTTATATTCAAGATTTAGTGCTAAAATGCAAATTTGAAATATGTAATTTAGTCAGTTTTAATTCAGGCTGCAAACCAGGCTACATAAAAATAATGCAAAATAAAAGGGTAAGATTACTTAATGGTCTGATATTTATTCTATTTTCTTTACACCTTGTAAACATTGGATGAGATCATTATTTTTAAATAAGGATAAAGACACTTTAAGACCACGTTGTTATATTCCCATGGTTTGTTTAAAATAGCATAAATATTAGCTTACTAGAAAAGAACTGTCCTAGTTTAACATAGAGTTTGTTTACTTTTTATTAATTTGGTCATTGTTTAAGGTTTTCTCCTCAAATATTAAAGTTTTTCACTTAAAAAGATCCCTAAGGAAAGTGATCTTTAAGAAAAGTGACTCTTACATGAAAATATGCAGTTTATTTGAATGAGACTAGTAATACATGTAATGAAGTCTCCAGTTCTAAATGTTGCATGTTAATTTGAAGAGATTTTTCATGAGGTTTTATCAACACTAGATTTCACTGGAAACTAACCTCAGAAGGTTTTTGCTATTTGCTTGAGGTAAAGTTTATTTTAGAAAGTTATAATTATATAAGGCTATCATGATTCAGGGCAGTTAAGCCTGAATGTTGGTTGAAATATTGGAATGGTTTGGGTTTTGGTATGCTATTTTTTTGTGGTTTCGTTTTGTTTGGGGTGCACACTGAGAGCTGTGTCCTGGAATTGGTGCCCAAGCAATTTTAAGTGCGGTATGAGCTGTTTATGTCACTGAGTAAAATTAGACATGCCTGTTGCTGATGTGAGGGGATGGAACAGGAGACAAGGCCAAACACGTGAGCGCCTGTTCCCCAGGGTCGGGAGTGAGGCTCCAGTCTTCCCTTTCATTCTGTAAGTAAAGGGAAAGTTAGAGAAGCTTTGTCCCTGCAGAGCGCAGGCCGGCAGTAGTTAATCCACAGTGTACTTTCAAACTATCTAAGGTAAGTGATCCGTTTTAACTTGGATTTTATACCATCACAAAGTACAACTTAAAACCAAACAGTTAAAGTTCTCTTGATTTCGTTCCCTTCATGGATGACTTGAGAGTTAGTAAAGTAAATTTAAAATAATGTCGAATACATTGTATATCTCAAAATAATTATATATGATTATGTTCTATTAATTTATTTATTTTGCATTATATATTAATTTATTTAAAAAGTCAGTTAACTTTTAACTTCAACTTGACTTTTCTGACTACTGATAGTCTACATATTTTTAGCATATTCATGTATTTCTAATATTTTAATTTGTAAAAGGCTAGTGATAACATGTCTATATTTTTGTGCATTAAATTGAAGGACTGTAGTTAACCTAGACAAAGTATAAGCTTTGAGATTACCTACTTCTAATTCTACTCTTCAACTTTTGTGGTAGAATTACATTTGTTTCTGAGTCTATTGATAGTTTTGTTATAGACATTAAGAAATAGACTAAAATTAATAAGAACAAAAGTCAAGAAGTGTTATAAGTTGGAAATAAACAAAACGAAAGCAAAAAAAATCAACCTGACTCCCTAACTATTTTTGGAGTGACAATGGAAAGAATGTTCTTTCCCCCAAATCTGGAAAATATAAAGTGTTGCTCAAAATGTGTGTCAAAAAATAAACATAAGTGGGATAAGTACACGTGTGCCAGTGACTTGGCTT